ATTATTAATATTTAGTTTTAAGTCCTTAATTGATTTTTATTTTTCTTCATCAATAAGGTGTCACATTTTGGTTAAAGAGAATAAGAGAAAGGTTAGAGGGAAAGGTAGATTAGAGTTTAGAGAGAAAGTTACTCTTTTCTTTTGCACTTTAAATCAAAAAGAAAAAAACAACCTTAAATCGAAAAGAAGAAAAACAAGATCCTAAAGATTTTTTAGAGAGACATGGAAGATTTGTAAAAATTTTTGAGATCAGAAAGGTTAAAGAGAAACGTAGAAAAGATTTTAGAGAGAGTAAAGAAATTTTAATTTTTTAGCTCATTAAATGTTAAAACTTCTCCTCATTAATAAGGTGTCACATTTTGGTGGCTTGATAGTGTATAGGAAGATATACACTGTCAGTGCATCAAATATAAATCCTTTGTATAAAAGTTTATATTTAATGCACTGACGGTGTATACAAGTTATATACTGTCAAGCCACCAAAATGTGCCATCTCATTAATGAGATAAAACTATAATTCATTAATTAGGGACCTAAAACTAAATATTAAAAAGTTTTTAACATTTAATGAGGTAAAAAATTAAAATTTTTTTACTCTCTCCAAAATCTCTTCTATGTTTCCTTCTAACCTTTCTGATCTCAAAAATTTTTACAAATCCTCCATGTCTCTCTAAAAATCTTTAGGATCTTGTTTTTCTTCTTTTCGATTGAAAGTTGTTTTTTTCTTTCTAGTCTAAAGTACAAAGGAAAAGAGTAAGTTTCTCTCTAAACTCTAATCTACCTTTCCCTTGGTCTCTTTAAACAATAAAAAATTTATTCAAGTTCAACTTTACTTTATATGTGATTGATTAAAATTTGAAATTGACAATGAAATTTTCTATTTAAAGTGTGAGATTTGAGATTGAGAGTCTTCAGTCTATATTCTTGTTATTGATTTAATTAGATATTTTCATAGGATCATAATAGGGTATTACCTTTTTATATGTTTTATAATGAAAGAACTCATCCATTGATTTTTTTTGAAGGGTACTCATGGATTGATTTAACAATCTTGATTCCTTAAAACATGAGATATGCAAGATTTTCATTTTGATTAGTTCCTATGATATTAGACATAAGCTAGGTATGTTATACAAGTTAGGTATATTATATTGTTTTTACAATCACCCTAGATCTAGATCTAGGAACAAGTAGAGATGATAATAGTGTAAAAGGGAAGAACTCGTGGAGGAGAGTTTAAAGAGAAAATAAAATTTTTTAATTATCATCGTTCTTGAAATTGCATAATTTTATCAAAATTGATCTTAATGGAAGAAAAAGAGGAGAAGAAGATGATGGAGTTGGAGAGAAAAAAAAAACAAGAAAAGAACAATTGAGAGAACGTTGGAGAGAGAGAAAAACGATTTGTAAAAGAATTATTAATATTTAGTTTTAAGTGATTTTAATTTTACCTCATTAATGAGGTGTCACATTTTTGTGGTTTAACACTGTATAGGAAGATATATATTGTCAATGTATTAAATATAAATCTTTTTTATAAAAGGAAATAAAGTGAAATTGAAAAGAAAAAATTAATGGTCAATTTAAATTTTTTAAGATTTAGTATTTTTTTTGGGATTTCATGCTTTTTTAAGTAAGAATATCATACACCAATCAATGAACTAATTGTTCAAGTGTTAGGATTTAGTATTAATCTTAAAAAAAATTAGATTTGAATCGAACTTTTTAAAGGAAAAATAATCCATGGTGTTTCAAGTATAGTACTTAAAGCACATGAATGAAATTTCTAGTATGTAAAGAAATTCAAATGAAATGCTAGCTAGACTTTCAAAATTGTTTTTTTTTTAAATCACGAAAAGAGAATTCGAATTCTACTCTTTTAAATAGAGAGATCGTACTCCAATCAATGAATAAAATACTCGGATGTAAACTTTCAAAATTATTATTCCTTTTCTTCTTATCATGATTTTTCTTTTTCTTTGTTGTAAATTTGCCTCTTTTTTTTTTTGTTTTAAATTTATTAGTTCTTATTTAGGAGAAAATTTTCATGAGAGCACTATTATAGATTGGGTAATGAGATAGAATTCAAATTTATCAATCTACTTATAATGATGACTTAAATTTATCATATATTTTCGAACAGATGAAATGTTATCATTATATATATTTTAATTTGCTTAAAAAATTAAAATTAAGTTAACGACAAAAAAATAATTTTAAAAAAATAAAAGGATATTTTTAATAAAATATTTAAAATTTGATTACATTTGAATAAAATTAAAATATAGTTATAAAATTACACTTACTCAAAGATATGTGGTAAATTTGATTTACCTTTATATAAATTTGAACCTTGAATATCCCAAAATAATATTTAAGCTGAATTCATAGGATACAATAGAGTTAATAATTTATTCAATAAAATCAATTAAGATCAAATATTATATATGGTTGATTAGACTTTACGAGTTATATTAACATGTTAATACTAAGTTATATTATATATAGTTAGAAGTTGAAACTGAAGTTAATACTAAGGAATTTCAACACAGACATGACATGATCTTATATGTTGAAGAACAAGTTGAAAATTTCAAATTATAAATTAAGTTAATTTTACACTTATAATTTGGCTAGCTGAACCAGGAGATCTCATGGAACCACTTAAATACGCATCATCTAAATTTCATATATTTGATCAAACATAAACTCCTTTTCTCTTATTTATGAGGTTGGTTGAGAGAGATAGATATATATATTTTTATCATTTGCAAATAATTTACGATGTCTAATTCATAGTATTATATATTACTGTATGTTTAAAAGAAAATAAAAAAAATACGAGTGGATAAATTTATTTTTTTCGAACTATTTTAAAGCAATGTCTTCAAGAATTTATAATGTTTGAATAAAGAATTCAGAAAATCAATAAAAAAAGTTCAATAAATGATAAATGTTAAAGTAGTTAATTATTTGCTAATTTCAGTTTTTTTATTATTCATAAGGCACAAGTATTTTATATTTTTAATTTATTTTTCATATTATCTGTAAAAAGTGAGTTTGATTTGAGACCAATAATATTACTTTAATAAGGTATCAAGTACATTGTTTCACTTTGTTGATCTCTCACAATCGATTATTATATTTTTTATTAATAAAAATTTAAATAAAAATTTTAGATTTTTACTTAAAATAAAATGTGTCATACCCTATAATTAATCATGCATTCAAAATTAACTTTAAAAACAATATAAATAAAAATTATATATTAGTACAACATTTATCTTTAACACTCATATGACCTAATATTAACAACAAATCAGGGATGTTACTCGTCATTTTACAAGCTAACTTAGAAAAATGTACTGCAAAAGAGTCCCACGGTGGAGCCGTTGGCTTCACTGAACTTTAGAATATCATGGCAAGCCTTAAAGCAACCGTGCCAAAACTAATCCAAATTCACCACCTGCAGTCGCATGCCTTCAACACTAACACCCTTAAAGAAGCTTCAATTTTCCTGTTCTTTCCTCATTGGACGATGCACAAAGTAAAAGAGGTTAGCCCACATGATTTCTGGTTTTCAGTTCCTACGTTTGGGTGGTAAACTCCTTGAAGGTGTCTTAAACGCGGTGGCATTTTCCACGTTCGATGGAATGCCGGAGAGGCTTATTGTCACTTGGATTTTTAATATTTTATGATTGGTACTTGTATTAGTCATAAAAGGAGTAAAGAGGGGCTTGGAGTTTTATCAAAATATGTTTTTGGAGGGAGTTTTTCCTGATGATAATTACACTTTTTCGACTGTTTCCAAGGCGTTTTCTTGGCCAGGTTTTAAATTAGAGGGCAGGAGAGCTCATAGGTTTTGATAGAGTTGCGGAAAGAGATGTGGTGCTGTTCGCAGCGTTGATTGTCGGTTGTTCTTAGCAGGGAGAAGATAGTGAAGCTTTAGAGGCATTTAGGACTTTGATCAAGGAGGGAATCAAGGCTAATGAGTGCCCATTTAGAGTACATTGATTGATATTGTGTTGGAATTTGGAGGATTTAAGTGATGGTAAGTTGATTCGTGACCTTATCATTAAAATGGGGTTTGAATCTGCTGTTGCATCTAAAACTTCACTTCTTACTACGTACTCTAAATGTGGTTTGATTGATGATTGATTGCAGATATTTAAACAGTTGGATAATCCGAACCAGGTGACTTGGACATCTTTAACAGCAGCTCTTGTGCAAAATGGCAGAGAAGAAATGGCTCTGACGAAATTTAGGAAAATAATTCGAAGTTCAGTTAGTCCAAATTCTTTTACATCATCTAGCATTCTTTGTGGGTATTCAAGCCTTGCAATGCTAAAAGAAAGGAAACAAATACATGCCATGGTCAAACATTTGGATTAGATAGAGATAGATATGCTAGGGCAGCAGTTCTTGACTTGTATGGAAAATGTGGAAGTGTAGATATTGCAAGGTTGGTTTTTGACTCTTTAATTGAAGTTGATGTAGTGTCTATGAACTCAATGATTTATAGTTATGCCCATAATGATTTTGGACATGAAGCTCTAAATGTGTTTGACAAGATGCAAGAAATGAGATGCCAAATGATGTGACATATGTGAGCATTCTCTTGGCATGCAATAGTGCAGGGTCGGTTGAAGAAGGTTGTAATATATTTTCCTCCATAAAGGCAATGACTACTTTGAACTATCCGTAAATCACTATGCTTGCAAGGTTGATTGGCTGGGATGTTCTAGGAGACTTGAAGAAGCAGAAACTTTAATAAAGCAGGTCAGTAATCCATTTTTGGTATTATGGAGGAGACTTCTCAGTGCCTGTAGTTTTCATGGAGAGGAAGGGATGGCAGTCAGAATTGAAAACAGAGTGCTTGAGCTTGCTCATGGGGATAAAGCAGCTCATGTTCTACTGTCAAACATTTATGCTTCAACAGGTAAATGAAGCCTTGTTATTGAGATAAAGCACAATGAGGGAGATGAGATTGAAAAAGAATCCTGCAATGAGTAGGGTTGGTGTTATTAAAGAGGTCCATACTTTCATGGCTAGGGATTGGTCCCACCCGAATTCAACAGAGATATTTAAAACATTCAAGGAATTGATTGAGGTGGTCTAAATTTTGGGTTATCTTCCTGATACAAAACTCTTGTTGCAAGATTTTGATAAGGTTAAGAAGGAAAGGTTACTGTATTATCACAGTGACAAACTTGCCATTGCTTTTGCTTTATGGAAGACTAGTAACTGGAATGCTAACATCAGGATTTTTAAAAACCTTAGAGTTTGTGGGGTTTGTCACTCACAGATAAAATTGGTCTGCATTGTTGTTCAAAGAGAAATAATTGCCCAAGATGCAAAAAGATTTCATCATTTTAAAGATGGATTCTGTTCCTGTGGATATTAATGGTGAATCATACTTTGTAAATGATATCTATCCTTCGTTCTAGGTTCAGCCGGGGCAGATCTATCCAACTATATTGGACTGATCAACTAAACTGATTCTTTCTTTACATACCAGTGGACTGACACTAGTGGATCAAAAGCTGCTGTCTTTCAATTGACATGCATGTGCCTCTCAACAATTTGTGGAGGACCTGGATTAAAGAGGTATATTAAATTTGATGGAATTTTATTTCAATTTACACTATTGTTAGAAGGTTTCCTGTGGTATCATGAAAGTTGATGTAAATACTCTATTTGGCCATAGTTTGCCGCTGATTAAACTTGAACAAACAGAACATAGGAGATAATAGGGTACTTACAGAACTTAACTCTTCACATGGTGATATGTTTTACCTTGTTATTGGCACAGGACATAGAAAAGAGTTTTTTCATATAAAAAGTGAAAAGTGAAGATAAAGTAGGAAGATTTAGAATGTTAACATGCTGAGGAATTCACATAAAATCTGATGGGGAGAGACTAAGGTCACTCAAAAAGTTTAAAATGAGCTCAAGTTGATGTAAAGAGTGAACTAAAGCCTTATTTAGTTTATTAGTACAGACTATAGATGTTCGTATGCCTTTCAAGTGCTGCAACCATCCTTCTCAACTAACTCATCCAGTTCTTTGCCACTTCTGGCACTCCAGAAAAGAAAAATAATTTGCTGCCAATTCTACTATCCAATTTGAATTGCTGCTCATTGAGCTTGATTGATGATAAGTTATCTACCAATTAAAAATCAACTCCTCTTAGAAAAGCCTTAACACCAGTTGGAAATTTTTGTTGGGCATTGATTATCTACATGAATTATTATAAAATCTGAGATAGCTGAGAATCTACTAAAATCAATAAACTAGTCTATTGATAATACATTATGCTGCAGGAAACTTTTAATTTAGGGGGCAGGGTTTGATGAATATACAAAAGCAAAAGCTATGGTTTTGACTAGTTCATCTGTGATCCCAGAAGGAGTTCTGACCTTTCTATATCAACAACCCATATATGAATCTTTAAGTTAGATTTGTACAATTTTCTCTACACCTAGAAAGCAGAGTCCAGATCTAATGTCAGTTTGGACTCTAGGTGAGTCTCCCATCATATTTAATGTGGTGGATAACTTCCTGCTGAATGTTTTTGAAATTACTCCCACTGCTAGATTCTGATGTTTATTTGTGCTTAGTTCAACTGCAGGGCTTCTTTTGGCCTTCCTAGCATAGATAGGACCGTCGCAGCGATATGTCTTGAGGAGAGCCCTGCTTCTTCTATCTGATCTTTGGGTGATCCATGATCAATATATCTATCAGGAAGCACCATTGCTCTCAACTGCAATGAGACTCAAAAACTATTTAGATTCTGAACAAACAAAACTTACATGTGAAGAAGGCAAATTTTTGAAAAAGGAAGCTAGAAATTTATACTTTAGAAAAATATATATATACCTTAAGAGATCCATCCAAAATACCGGTCAAGCTCAGGAAATGTGAAACATGTGAGCCAAAACCTCCAATGGAACCCTCTTCTACAGTAATAAGAATCTCATGCTCATGTGCTAGTTGCTTGATGAGATCTCTATCTAAAGGCTTGCAAAATCTTGCATCAGCTACTGTAATATAAATGTCTTGCAATCTGAGCATGTGTGCTGCTTCAATACATTGTTGAACTATAGAGCCATATCCCAAAATAGCTGCTCTATTGCCTTCCATGATAATTCTTCCTCTCCCCATCTATTGAACCATTGAAGAAGAAACACTAGTCAGTTTATTTGCTCTGTACTTATCTGTTTGGATATCCTAAAATTGATTATGCTCACCTCAAGAGGAGTTCCTTTGTAATTAGGTGGAAGAGCTACTCCAGTGCCATTTCCCCTGGGGAACCTGAAGCAGCTGGGTCTGTCATCAATGGCTGCTGCTGTTGCAACCATATGCATAAGCTCAGCCTCATCAGATGGGGCCATTACCACCATGTTGGGCAAGCAAGCCATGTATGTGATATCAAATGCACCACAGTGGGTTGGTCCATCTGCACCAACCAATCCAGCTCGATCCATTGCAAAGCGGACAGGTAATTTTTGAAGATCCACATCGTGCACCACCTACCATTGGAGTTAAAATATTCCAACAAAAGTGCTAATCAGGAGAAAGTGAGAAATGAAAGAATATTGCTTCAGAATGAAATCCAGTCATATACAATGTAGTGTGTGTGTGTATATATATATATATATATAGTGGTGAGCTCACCTGATCATACCCTCTTTGCAAGAATGATGAGTAGATGGCACAGAATGGCTTGAGACCCTCAGTGGCAAGCAGCTGCAAAAGTAACTGCATGTTGCTCGGCAATCCCTACATCAAAGCAGCGGTCTGGGACCTTTTTGGAAGAAATTCAGACCTGTTCCCCCACCCATAGCTGCGTGGATGGCTACAATCTTGTCATCATCCTCAGCTTCTTTTATGAGCGATTCAGCGAAGTACTGTGTATATGACAGTGTAGAGGACGTAGGCTTAAATTGCCTGCCTGTTTTTGTGTCAAACTTTACTACACCTGAGAGCAGATAGAATAATGATCATTTTGATAGGGCATAACATCACCATTTATATACGAGTTGCAATTTTACCATGCATTTTGTCAGCCGATGCCTCAGCTGGGGATAGCCTTTTCCTTTCTCTGTCACGATATGGATTAGGACTGGCCCTGGGGCAGGCATGGCTTTCACCTTTTCAAAGATCAATACTAGATCTTCAATATTTGTCCATTAACTGGACCAATGTAATATAGCCCTAGCTCCTCAAAGAGGGTGAAGCCAGAAGCACTGATCATTCCTCTTGCATGCTCATCTACCTTTGCTGCAAGTTCATGTGCTTGTACGCCAAGTTGTTTAGCGAGGCCCTTCAACACAAGTAGTCCAGTCAGATTTCTGTGATTCAAAGATGGGAGAAAATTGGGATGGAAGACTTAAATAAAAGAAATCTTAGAGGTTTACTTTTGCTTTTTCACGAAGTTTGCGGAAGTTGGTGCTTGCTTGAATCTTGGTTAAAGCCTGCTGAGAGCTCCAACAGGGGTCGCAGGACCATCTAGAGTTGCAGTTGCAGAGATACTTGTTTATTATCGTTCAATATGACAATTAGGTTAGCATCAAGAAATCCTGCATTATTCATGGCCTCAAATGCAAGTCCTGCAGTTATGGCTCCATCGCCAATCACTGAAACGACATTGTTCTTCTTCCCTAGAAGATCTCTTGCCACTGCCATGCCTACATTTTTTTCATTGAATGTTGGTTATATTCTCAAGTTCTCATGATGTATCTTAAATTTTATGTTTTACACCTCATGTTCATGGAATGAAAGAGTTTAGAGTGAGACCATATACCAAGTCCGGCAGATATGCTTGTAGAACTATGTCCAGCACCAAAAGCATCATAAACGCTCTCATCCCTTTTAGGAAAACCTGCAAGCCCTGAAGTTTTTCTTACGTGTGCATCCTCGACCTTCTTCCTGTCAGAATTTTATGAGCGTATGCCTGCAATTTTATTGCTTTCAGGACCATCTTCTATGATTTTAAGAGGCATTTGCATATGCTACCTACTTGTGAACTTCCATATGAACATGAGTCGCTCGAGACTCTCACCTGATGGCCGACATCCCATATAATTTTGTCTTCAGGTGTGTTGAATACATGGTGTAAAGCTACAGTCAGCTCCACTACACCCAAGCTTGAACTAAGATGCCCGCCGGTCTCCGATACAGTGTGCACAATATCGGCTCGAAGCTCTGCTGCCAGTTGTTCAAGGTCCTAGAGGTATTTCAGTATTGAAATTAACAAAAAAGCCAGCAGAAAATGTAGAAAACAAAAACAATATGAGAGGGAATTGTGCAGATAGCTGGTTATGACAGAAGCAAGAGAGTACGGAAGCAAACAAAAAACATATAACAGGAACTAGCGGGCTAATCATAAGATAAGAAATGAAGAATCCGGTGAACAGATTAACGGAGAGACAAAGGATTCCATGATGATCTCTAGTTTACTCTTGTGGATAAATTCTTCATATGAACAGGGTACTTGATGATGTCCAACAATGGCGTAGCCGGTTTCTTGCCGGAGAAATGGATCTTCCAGCCATCATTTTGTTTCGTTATCATCGTTTTACGGTCCTCATCGTCCAAGTTTCCGGCCGAGGCTCTCAGACAAAACTGAAGACGCAAAGAGCAATCATCATTTGCACCAGCCATAAGACATGAACATTAAAGAAAACCCATATCACAGATAACTAAACCAGAAATGTTTTAAAAACAAAACAAAACAAAACCAAAAAAGAAAATGAGAATCAGAAAACATCTTTATCTTAGACGAAGAAAAGCAGACAGAATATGGCAATCATGGTAAAGAAAACTTATCATTAGATTGACTAACATGTTTTTTGCAACTAAGGTTTGGCCTTGTAGGTTTCAGAAATGGTGCAGGGGAATGGCTTGGTCCAACCAAAGACCCAGGCGCCATTTTTTGAGAAAAATGAGGAGTAGACAGAGAGCTTATTATAAACGGAGCCTGGAATCAAGTTAACAGTTTAAGTGAGACAGAGAGAGAAGGGTAGAGGGAGGGTTGGTTGGCAGTCAAATATATAGAATTAGAATTTATTGCTTTTGCCTTTCTGGCTGGAAAATGGATTTTTTTGTTATTAATATCTTTCTAAAAACTTTGTTTCACTCTTAAGATGAATAATTATTGTGAATTCATTGGCACCTTAAATGAATATCATGAAAAATTAGAATTGACAACTATAATATGTTTCTTAAAATTGCATCTTATTTTCTATTCATATATATGGTTAATTTAAAATAAGATTTCGGAATTTTAGATCTTCCATTATTTTTGTTTCACTATTCTAGGAAATATAAAATGATTTTTTTTATATTTTAAATAAGTGCACAAAAAGGCAAATTAAGTGAAATTTAAAAAAATTAATCATTAATTTAAAATCTTTTAGGATTAATTATTATAAATTAAAAAAATTTGAATCCAACATTTTTTAAAAAATTAATCCACTATGCTTCAAGTATATTAATTAAAGAGCATAAATAAAATTTCTCATATGTAAACAAATTCTAAAGAAATGCCAACTAAACTCCCAAAATTGTTTTTCCTTTTCCCCTTATCATCATTTTTTTTTCTTTTTGGTGTGAATTTGTCTTACTTATTGAAGGGAAAAAATTTGTGAGAGCACTATTATATAAAAGGCGACAGAATGAAATTCAAATTTACTGCTCTACTTATAACGTCGCCTCAAATTTATCATATAAAATCAAAATTAAATTATTGACCAAAAAATTCCTCAAGAACATAAATGGACATTTTACAAAATATTTTAAGTTTTGATTACATTTGAACTAAACTAAAACAAATTACTGATAAAATTATACATACTAAAAAAACATGATAAATTTGATTTATCTGCCCAAGTATAGAAGTAAATTCGAACCTTGTACATCCCAAAAATAATACAACTGCTTCCAAACTAATGTGATTTTGACTAATTCCCACGGTATATGAATACAAAAGAAAATTCCAGAGTAAAATAGAAAAATCTCCTTAAATACACTTTGGCCCTAGGCCTTATAATTGAGATATTGTTTTAATTAAAACTCTACATCTATATATGCATGCACACATGCATAAAGGGGGAGAAAAGAAAAAATAAAAATTTTGCTCCTTGTAGAAGTTGCAAGATAATTGCTCTTTTAACATATTCGTCGTCCATTTAATTATCACATTGGGGGTATATATGTATAATTGCAATAGTTGTCTACTTATTGATTTGGCAAGAAAAAAATTAATTTCCAGTTAGTCCAACAAAATTAAATCATTAAAAAAGTGTGAGGATGCCGTCTAGTTGGTAATGATATATAGACGTAAACCCAATCCATTACCAGTTTGTATCATTTTCTTTGTTTTGTTTTCCTTTTTTTCAGCAAACTGGAAAGGATAGATGGTTTATTTTACATGCATCGGACAATAACCAGTTGAAATGAAATTGAAATGCTCTACTTAGCTAAGCACCACAAATTACAATGAAATTGAAGCAAGAATCTTGAGAGAAAGCTCATAGAGTTGATAGTTGGTGCATAAAACTTATTTGTCTATTATTTATTTATTTATTTAATGTTAATATGTAAGTTTCTTTACCTAGAAAAAATTAAGTTAAATATTAACGATAATTCTTAGATCTTTTAGTTATATTTTTATATATTATTAAAAAATATATCTCAAAGTGATTGAAAATCATTTTATTCAAAATGACCCGACATGTGAATTAATTTGAATTTAACTTAATTTGATTCAAAGTATTGAAATCCGTAATAATTAACAACCCAAATTCAATATCTTTACTCAAAACAATATATGATCGGATAAAACTCGAAATAATCCAAACCTGAAACTGACTCCACTCATCCCATTACCACCTAAATCAACAATATTAACAATAATCGTAATTCTAATAAAAGAAGGAGAAGATAACTGTATATTCATTATTTATTGGTATATGGGCAAAGCATTAGCAACCCAGTCACGTATTGTGTTTTCCTAACAAAAAAACTAGCAATATCTACATTTTAAACCCAAAAAAAAAATTGTCTAAGTCTAGATTTCAATGTTCTTATAGGCAAAGAAAATGATGAGATGGACAAACCGACACTCACAAAGCTCAATTTCCACAACTACAAAATACTTGACATGAAAACAAATTTTTAATCAACTATAAACTATAACATTGGTCCTACGCCTGCCCTCTTTTTCTGGATCGTTTCTGCGATGATTTTGCCTTTGAAAATGGCAGTTGTACAATCGCATGAAGGACCTGACGTCTGAATCCCAAATTATTAAAGCTGTCATGTACACTTTGAACTTGTCCCACAATCC